TTTCTGGTGAGATGTTATGTTTGCCTGCATTGTTCCACAGTATGTTGTCAATCGTTTTTATGGTCAATTTCACCTGCTTGTCTCCATCAAGATAATATTTAAAGGGCCGATATTATGCGATTTGTGTTGTTTTTTGTGTGTGTGTGTGTGGTGTTTTCAAACTCCATACACTTTCCCTAGATTCATTTGGACAATTTTAGCCCTGGCATGACCAATTTCTACTGAATTTGAAGGTAAAAGGTGACGAAAACAATCTCTACATGACATCGCAAGGTGGAACGGCGCATTGTGAACTTTGGAGATGTAGACAGATTGATGATATAGTCTTGCTCAAACATGTGTGAATGAAACAAAACACAACTCCAGGTCTGTTTTTGATGAGGTAACAGCATTATAAAACGGCAAGAATCCATTTTACATAATAGAGGCCCTTTAAAGTTTAATTGGTACCACAGATACTACCACACGAAACCACAATTAGAGAAAAATATCACATGAACTAATACAAAATACTGTCAACTAGTGTATTAAAAAGCCTTTATATAGAAATCTTATCTTGTTTTGAAATCCTGTTATTCCACTACTTCTTGATTACCGTTTTTGGTGCATTGAGTAAGAGTCGACTAACCAACCCAACCTTTGTATAATCAAAACAAAGCTCCAGATGAGACATTCTTCTTTTGTCTGCACACGTCGCTTTCATTGTGATCTCAAACAATAACCAAATATTTCCAATAGGGAAATGAAGCCACATATACAGTATTACTACCCAGTTACTGTAAAATCCGTATCCTCTTCCCTTGAATTTCTTAATAAACTGCGACTAGTTGCATTTCCCCTAAGGTTTGGTCAAAATAGTGCACACAGAGACGCCACTCTTCCTCGTAGTCAAATTGCTTTGACTTGTTAAACGATAAATAAAAACACATCACTTTCAGATCAACATTTTGTTTAACTCAAAGTGAAACTGGATACAGCAGGTGCATGGGAATTTTAATAGAATTTTCATAAAGAAGTTGGCAAAGCTTTCATTTTCAGGTCTAAATGTTGCTTAGTAATCTTCTTATCTTATCTTCTATTTTCTCTTTCTCTTCTATGTTATAACTGTTCCTTATCAAAAACATCCCCGGAGTTTTTCCTCAGGATGTGTGTGGAATCCCTCAGTTGCCCAGGGACAATCCGTGACAAAGGAGAAATTCAATATGTCAACTAGACAAATGTTTATTTAGGTGAAAAATGTTTCGTGGCTCATCCAAGCTGCTTCTTCAGTTCATTGTTTTGTTCTTAAACATGTGTAAGTGAAACTAAACATAACTCTAGGTATGTTTTTGATGAGAAAACAGCATTATAACATGATTTAATGGGCACAAGAGTCAATTTAGGACATTTAAAAACAACATATTGTGCTTGTTTCTGTTATAGTTGTAGTCTATGACATTTATGGATGATTATGTTATAATATGGACATTTTAAATCCCAATACTGATCTATAAGTAAAGCTGCAAATAGTTTTTTTCATTTGCACCAAAATGCCTATGCGATGCTGCCAAATCCTCGCCTGATTCATTATTCGGTTTCATTTCGTGGACACCGTCTGACCTCACAGCATTAGGATTCGTTTGCTCGAGGCAGGTACTTTTTTTATTTATTTTTATTTTTTACTTTTGCAATTTTTTATTTAACCAACCCCTCCTGCTATTTGGTCATGACCAAATCCCGTTGGAAGAAGGGCAATAATGTCTTTCCCCTTGATAAAATTCATCAAACATTCTCTTTGTTTTGGCTTAAATCCTCGATCTCAGGAATCGTTACCAACACTGAATATTTGCTGATTGGTTGGTGCCCGAACTGCACTTCCGGGGTTCTTGCAAACCGCCTAGTGCAGATATGATGGTGCTCGATATAGTTATATTTGACCCGCGAGATCATATTAAATATGTATTAGAGCTGCCAGCCGGCTACAGATAGGCTATAGGAACATTATTTATTTGAAATGTTTTATTATTTTATACTTTGCTTGTTCTGGATTCAATGTTTAAGCAAAACTATTATTAAACATTTATTTTAATAAGAAAAGGTTTAACATCTCGAAAGAAGAGAAAACATGCAGATGTTGTTGAAATTTTTCAATAAATATTTAATTTGTCCCACGACTTAGTCCCAGTTTTTAATTTTGGCCTCTGTGAATTTGAGTTTCACACCCTTGGTCTAATGTATTCTGATTCCTGACCTAGTCGCTGGAGAGAAATAAAATTAAGCAGAGGCAGTAGGTGGTGCCAGCCTGGCTAGCCAAATCTTAGTTGTTTCACTGACTAAGAAAATAGAACTGGAGAAAGAAGTACAAAGTAGTGGGTGTGTACCAGTGGCATAAATACAGGAGGCAATATGGAGTGTACAAAAACAAAAGAGTAAAGATTACTCACGCATGAACCAATCACTTCAAATACAACTTCAAGTATGTAATTAGTGAGAGGAAACAACTATAAAATCGCTAACAGCTCTGAAAAAGAAATGCTTCCTGGACAACAACTAAAAAGGCTTCTGTTAATGAAGAAGTCACGGGCCTTTGCCACAGGAATGAAACTGACTGCATTCCAGACACCACGGTCACTTCCATTTTAAATTGACTGGAAAATGACAGATCAAAACACAAAGAGATATCAGAAATATTTTAATTCATACATGATCCGGGTTTAACAAAACACTAGGTGCATTCCCAGGTCAGACCACAAATGTAAATGGAGAAACCACCTACTTATTGTTTCTATAATTGCTTTGGTTGAAATGTTGCACACATGACATTACGTTTATATTTTTCCCTTAATTATAATGCAAGTTTACTATGAGCTACTTCTCTCTCCCATAGACCCTATTATAGAAGGGGACTAAAGGAGCGCGATGTCCCCATAGCGTTTGATTGCAGCCAAATGAAGCTCATCGAGGCTCCATTATAGCGACTCATCTGCAACCAGGGAAATCTGAGCACAAAACCAATCTGGAGTGAGACTGTTCAAGGTATCGCCCCCTGACTTAGTAACAAAGCTGTCAATCAACCTGTGACTAACACAACAGTGGCCTCAGGGAAAAAAAGGAACCAGATTTGTTGGTTATAAATAGTGTTGTAGTCAAGACCTGCACTAATTGAGGCCAAGACCAGTCCGTGACTACGGGGTCCCGAGACCAGGACAAGACCAAGACCTCTGAGGGTTGAAACCGAGACAAGACCAAAACTTTTAAAGGCAGAGATGGAGACAAGACTGACACCTTTGGGGGTCAAGACCAAATCAAGACCATCTTTGTCATTTTCAACATTTATTTGTATTTTACAGTTATTGTGGCACATATATGTCAATGTTTTTTTTAATAAATCTGTCTCAATTTTATCACTCATCAAGTGTCTGACCTTGAGACTGAGGCAAGACCGAGTCCAAGCTCTTTCAAGACTGAGACAAGACCGAGTCCAAGCTCTTTCAAGACTGAGACAAGACCGAGTCCAAGCTCTTTCAAGACTGAGACAAGACCGAGTCCAAGCTCTTTCAAGACTGAGACAAGACCGAGTCCAAGCTCTTTCAAGACTGAGACAAGACCGAGTCCAAGCTCTTTCAAGACTGAGACAAGACCGAGTCCAAGCTCTTTCAAGACTGAGACAAGACCGAGTCCAAGCTCTTTCAAGACTGAGACAAGACCGAGTCCAAGCGCCTTCAAGACCGAGACAAGACCGAGTCCAAACGCCTTCAAGACCGAGACAAGACGAGTCCAAGCACCTCCAAGACCGAGACAAGACCGAGTCCAAGCGCCTTCAAGACGAGACAAGACCGAGTCCAAACGCCTTCAAGACCGAGACAAGACGTAGTCCAAGCACCTCCAAGACCGAGACAAGACCGAGTCCAAGCTCCTACAAGACCGAGTCCAAGCGCCTTCAAGACCGAGACAAGACCGAGTCCAAGCGCCTTCAAGACCGAGACAAGACCAAGTCCAAACGCCTTCAAGACCAATACAAGATCGAGTCCAAGCGCCTTGAAGACTGAGACAAGACCGAGTCCAAGCTCCTACAAGACCAAGACAAGACCGAGTCCAAACACAGTTGAGTCCAAATGAGTTGATTACATTGTGCTTTGCCATGACATACTGTATCCAAAAGGTACATTCACATTTGCTGAACCTGGTATTTTCAATTACTGACTAACCCCAAGAACATATTTTTGCTTTTTAACAAGATTAATTTTAGCTGCTCCCCATCTGTATTCATAAATACTGGCCAATAGAACGCTGTGGTGTCATCTGAAACCCTGCGATACTGTCAAACATTCACGTCACAGCAAGCTTTTGGCACATCCTCCGACAGAAAAGTTACACAGTGCACCTTTAATACCAGGACTGCCAGCTCAGTCTGCTCTAGTTCACCAGAAACCTCTAC